GCAATTTGTCTCGTAGCAGAACACCTTTCATTGCGAACTATCGACGAAGACTTTTCTGGAAAACTTCACAAGGATTTTCACGTTTGCAGAATTTGTCTAATACTACCTCTGTTCCATATTAGTGCCGACATTTGACTTTACGGTGACCCCAAAAACTGAATTTTTTGGTCAAAATTGACGAAACAAAGCCCCAATAATGGATCAAGGAATTCTGAACAAAGTTCTATTGGACAAAACGACCGAAAATGATGTCTTCGGCCCAAAAAACAAATTCGTCGACTTGTTTAAAATGTGAGTTATTATAATATGGGGATTGTCTATTTCCGGAAATCCGGATACGAATGAAATGCCGTTTGAGCACAGCCAAGGGCGGCATTCCGAAGTCCGTCCCCGATGCCTCTCAGTTCTTCCGCTATAGAAGTATTTCCACCGCTTCGACCTACTTCGTATTCGCAAGTAATCCCCGTTTCGTTTCATCCACTTTCAAAAACTGTAGCTTATATACTATTGCTACCATACAGGAGCGAAGTTGGACGACCTCCGACACCTGCCAGATTGGGTTGGCGTCAACTATACTCCACATTTGAGAGTCCTAGTCACTAATCGCTAATTGCTTATCGCATCCCGCAGCGTTTCCTCTAGGAAGCCCATATCCACAGCTCTATCGAAGCAGCTACGCGGCGGTGAGTCGCTGTCGGTCATCCCAAGTGTCGATTGTCCAGCAAACTCGGGAATTTTATCCAATAAAATCGATGTATGCATCATTTCTAGCCAATAAGAATGAAATGTTGCCAGTAATTTGGAAAAAGTGTGATTTTCAAATGTCGCCAGTAATATGGAACAGAGGTAGTACTTCGTTCGACAGTGGTCACCACATCACTCAGAGCTTGGCGCGGGGCTTGCGGCTGTGGTACTCCACTCCACGCTTCGAGACGACGAGGACCTGGCCCGAGTTTTCACTCTCCATCAAGGCTCTCATCAGAGCTTCCGCAACGTACTCAGTTGGCATTAGCCCACCGATTCTGTCCACGACGGAAGCATCTACTTCCTGGATGGCTCGACCCATCTGCGTGTCCGCAAAGGCAGGGCAGAGCGCCACGACGCGTACGTTCGTCTTCTTCACGTTTGATCCCACAGCTTTCGAAAACGCGACGACGGCGGCTTTACTTGCACTGTAGTCTGGGGTGTCGTTCAACGGGTACAGACCCGCCATGCTCGCAATATTGACCACCACTGGTTGACCTCGCGATGACGACAGTCGAATCAAACCAACTTGGGTGCCGCGAAGGACAGCTGTGGTATTGATGGCAATCACATTCGTCCAGGACGTGTCAGCAGAGTAGAATGCAGTGCCGCCGATGCCTGCGTTGTTCACAATTACGTTCACGGGATGGGACGCGAACGCGCGATTGGCGGCATCGAACGCCGCGTCGAACGAGGCCAAGTCAGTCACATCTTGTCGTTGAAAGGCGACTCGTTCGGGGTACGTTTGCTGCAACGATTGCGCTTCAGCTTGGACCGCAGTAACGTCGATATCTGTCATGAAGACTCTGCCGCCTCGTGCCAGGATGGCGCGGGAGAAGGCCAGCCCAAGGCCGCGGCCGGCCCCTGTCACGATCGCCGTTATGTCGTTCGCCTGCATTCGATGTATGTTTGCGAAACAATCTTGGGGGGGGTATCCGGATGTCCGGGGTGTCGGGGTCGCCCTCCAGATGTCGAATCCGCGAATTGCGCGTGTCCGCCGGTGTCCAAGGTGTGCATCCTTCCAACACGTCCCATAGCGCAACTCAAACGACATCGCAACCCAATTATACCACAGGTGAAAGCGGGCGAGTCCTCCAGCTTTGTCGCCCTGATATTTGTTGAATACGACGCGTCAACGTACCCCGCAGAGCGACGAGAGCTGGAAGCGTGGGGTCGTTGATGTCTTGGCAGCGCCAAAGACGTTCCAAAACCGAAGCGATTCGTCGGCAGCCGCCGACACGACGGACGACCCGTCGGGAGACATGGACATGTGAAGCACCCGTGCGGTGTGGCCCGTGAATTCTTTGATCCGGTGCATCCGTGGGTAGCTCCACAGACACAGCTCGTTCTGGGAAAAACCATGGGAGGACAGGAGCTCCTTCTGAGTTGGAGACCACAAAAGGCCACACACCTGGCTGACATGGTCAGCGCGACCTATCGTGGACGCGTACCTGCGACCCAGTGAAGATGCTCTGCTCCATGGTGCCGCTGTTGGTGTGCCAGATCTTGATGCATCTATCGGCAGTTCCCCCTCCAGATGCGAGGAGATGCCGCTCCCACGGGCACCACGCCAGTGCCTTGACAGCAGCTTTGTGCTGACACAACGTCTGCCTTGGCGTCGTGCTGATGCCATCCCACAAGCTTAATCTGTTGGGATTCGAAGTGAGATGGGCAACCGCTTGAGATGGTCCCGTACCGGTTGTCATTGCCACCGGAAGCAAGTGTTTTTCCGTCAGGAGACCACGTGAGCCCGCAGACTTCTTGCGTGTGGCTGCTCAAAACTGCGATCGCGCCATGCGGCGACTTGATGTCATTCTGGACGATCTAAGAATCATATCGTTGAGAGAGAACCGAAAGAGTCAAACCGCCCACACCTTGGCGTCCCGGGACCCCGACGACAACACTTGCAACGACGAATTCCAGGCGAGGGACCCAATGCGGTCGTCATGGCCTTGTATGGTTCGAATGCACTTGACAGCGCAAGCGTCCCACAGCTGGACTTGGGCATTAGACGTGCCCACGGCCAGAGTTCGCTCACTCAGCCAAGCCACGGATGTAACATACTCACTTCCTTCGCACGCTGTCGCCCGAATGGCCGTCGCCCCGCCAGTGTCAACGTTATACAAGCACACGAGGGTGTCGAGTGCGATCGCCAAGAGGTTGCTGCTGCCCCACGCGAGAAGGTTTAAATAGTAGTCGTCGCGAAGGTCTGGGGCTTCCAGGATTCGAGTTGGGGTGAGTGGAATGTGCCGTCTCAACGACCCACCAAAAGCGAGGGCGCGATGGTGCAGTGGAACATAGCGAGAGGAGGATACGGCGGGTTCCATCTTTGGCGATTGAAAGCGCAGCATGCGGTGGTCGTCGCCGGCGACAAGCGTGGCGAAGAGCAGATCGCTGTGGGTTGGGCCGTGGCTCTTGGACGGTCCGTGCAGCACTGACGTGTATGATGACAACATGTGCTGGCACAGATCTGTGTTCATGGCGGCGCGGGACGGGATGAACCGATCGTCCGACCCGTGCGATCGTCGACAGCTCGACGACTTGACAACCGGCATGGCGACCTGCTGCTTCGAAATCGCAAGTGAAACCCCCACCACATCCGCGCGATGAAACGGTGGAAGGTCAAATCGGGGGTTTCGGGGTTCAACAGTGTCTTTAATGCGCTTAAAACATGAGGAGCGGCTCGTTATGCTTGTTCTTGCCACCGCCGTCTGCCTTGGACTTCTTGGACTTCTTCTCCGGCTTGCTTTCTCCTTTCTTCGATTCCTTCTTGGCCTTCTTGACCTTGGCCGGCGGCTCGTCGACCGTCGCCTTGCCCTCCTTCTTGCTTGACTTTTTCTTCTTCGGCTTCTCCACGGCGTCGTCCTCTTTGACCTTCTTCTTCTTCTTCTTTTTCTTCTCGTTAGAGTCTTGCTCGACAACTTGTCGATGGCGCCAGTGCGCGTCCGGAATCACTTCGTCGTCTCCGAGCGGCACAGTCAGGTCGACTTGGCTCAGGTCGTCGTACTGGTTCTTCTTCGAGGATCTCCTGCGAGCAGGCGCGTTGTCGTCGCTCGACCCATTGTCCGGCTAAAGAAACCCAAGTCAGTCGAGCCAGCTATCGACACCCGACCTCGTCGTCCAGAATCACGATCTTCTTGGTCCGCTTCGGCTTTTTCTTCTTTTGCTTCTCCAGCACTTGGAGCAAATTGCCCACCATCTACCGTCCGCATGAAAAGTTCCGCCCACAACACATCTCCGTACATTGCTTTGGGGCGCATTGTCGCTCGATTTGATGTAAAACGCATTGGACTTGTCCACCTTGGCCGTCAAGTCCATCTTGGTCTCGTCCTCGCTCTCGCTGCTTGACCGGTCATCTACGTGCCATCGTCAAGTGGCATCTGCATGCGAAAGAGCACACCGTTCAAGTTGACGTAGCTGCCATCGGGGCCGCCATACGACGACGGAGGGCCGCCTTGATTCACAAACGAGACTTCGGCGTCCTTTGCACCAAGTTGAATCCAATGAAATGATCATGATAGACATTACCTCGTCCAACACATCCATGTCACCGCCCGCAACTAAAAACGCAGCGACGTCGCGGTCGAATGGCTTGTCCAGGTCCAGCCCTACGAGATGGATGTGAACCAATAGCCCATGTAGCGGCCTTCCAACCTGGTGGCAACGGGACCTTCCCTTGGGCTTTCGCCCCCACGGGCGCCAGAGGCTCGGCAAAGAAACTCGTCAGGAGTTCCACACGCGTGTCGGCGCTACATTGGATGCGTTAGGCGTGACTTTCTGGATTGGCGACCAACCTGACAGGCTGCGAATCAAACACTCGGTTGGCCCGGTCATCCGCACTCAGTGCAGCCAAGCCCAAGCCAAGCCCCAACACAATCTCTTGCACACCGCACGCTCGTTCTTGCACGTCAATGTGCTCGCTCTGACATCTTTTGCATGAGACCAACCAAGACGCGGAAGATCTACCTGAACAAAGGCAGGTAGACGCTCCAAGATCATTTGCGCCAAGCTGTCGACGGTGGCTTCGTCTGCTTTTTCCACCATCACCATGAGCAGCTTGAGCAGCGCCTGCATGTACACAGCTTGGACGGGAGCTGGATCACGGGATCGGGTATGTCATATACGCTGGAACGAAGGTGGAGGGCTTACGGGGCAGGGATGTGGTACGAGGCATGAGCATGTGGTCCGCGGCGTTCATGACATCGTCGAGACGGCTGTCGTCCTCGTCCTCCTCCTCTTCATCTTCATCTTCCACATATTCCATGATGTACTCGCCAATGATCCACCCCGCCGCGTAGAGCACTGCAGAGCATTGTAATTCACTACACGTCATCCTGTGGAAGTGGGGCGTACCTTGGCAGGTCGTCTTGGCCCCTGGGCCGGTCAATGCCTCCTCGTCAAGCAGGAACTCGATCATCTTCTGCACAAGCATCGCGCGGATTCCCTTGACGCGCACCGCCAAATCGACCAGCTGCCGCGTGATTTCCGTCGCGTTTTTCGCGTTTTCGCCAGGCACTTTGGCGAGTTGGACAAGAATGGTCAAGTACCACTCAAAGTCGGACACGTTCTGGTACTTATTGATGGAGCACACCATGAGGATCTTGTTCATGAGCTCCTGACGGTAGATGCCGTCCGCCACGAGGGTGTGGCGCATCAGTTCCTGGATGATGCCGGGCGCGTTGTCCGGTGTGACCATCCCGACCAACAACTCGAGCGACCGCAGACGAATCGTCGTGTCTTCGACACTAAGACACTCTAGAATGACCTGCTGATGCTCGCTGATCACATGGGGATGGCTTTGCATGAGGTTGCTCAGCCCCACAAGTCCCAAGTAGCTACGGCACAAGCAATGTCAGCATCATTCGCATGTCGAGTCACGCACCGCAAGTTCTGGTCGGGGTCTTCGATGTACCGGCGGAGGTGGTCGTTGCAGAGCTTGACGATGGCGGGGACGTTGCGGGGTTGGGTTCCGTCGCTCTTTTGCGTGTACAACAGCGCAGTCGTGACGGTGCTAATGCACTCGTATAGGAGCGACTTGGCGGGTGTGTTTTGGATGATGGTCGCCAACGGGTCGAGGAGTTTTCGTGCCAAACGTGGCTCTTCTGGTACGAGGGAGCTCATGAGCTTGACCACCTACACGTGCATGAGACGATGGAAGGGGTCCATTATGAAAGGAGCGACCTTGATGAGCATCCAGTTATTCGAGCTCGTCGTCAAGAGGCGGAAGAACTGCGGAGCGAGGCCGACGTAATTCTTGGGCTTCTTGTTCGCGAGTTCGCAGATCACGTTCACGGAACACGACACAACGGACACATCAGGCTCTTCCATGCGCTCCTTCAGACGATCAAAACTCAATCGTAGACCCTGAGGGTATCGGAGGAACAGCTTGTAGAGGATCAGTGTCGCCTTCTTCCGCACGTACGGCTTGTGGCTGTTCATGAGGTTGAGGATGTCGCCAAGCAAGTCGCGCGCCAAGTCCAACGTGCAGATGTTCGCCATAGCGTTCAATGCGAGACCGACTTCGTACTCGTTGACGCTCCCAAACTCCTTCTTGAACAAGTTCGTGCAGAGCAGCACGACATCTGTCGCTTGGGTGAAGGACTGGCTGGCCGCCAAGTATCCGATGCGTTTATGCGCGAATCGTTCGTAGGACATCACCTCGACGGTGTGGAACGCAGCCCAACTCATGTCGTACCCCTGCATGTTCAGGTACGTCAGTTTGCGGATGGCCTGCGCCTTGACAAAGGGGTCCGTGGACTTGAGCTCCGTCTTGATTTCCTGCATGCATTGCGAGATGTACACGGACACATCCCCCTTGCATGCGCGAATACCCTTGACCAGGTCCGCCAGCGTCTTCTCGAACATGCCGCTTGCTTCGTGGCCTCACTTCGGCAGAAGATTTACACAGCAGCCGACATGGAAAGACAACCGGATACCATCCAGATTATCCGGATATCGCCACTCCAATCACGTGGTTCCAGCCGCGTTCGACCTGCTTGGAACTCTGCCGTGGCAGGACGAAGGCTGCCGCAATGACGGCGCGTGCGAGTCGAGCGGGTGATGAATATGTACGCTGCATTGCAATACTTGGCGTTTGAAAAGCAGACCAGTGAGCATTTTCGTCGTCGTTTGTGTTTCGGGGTTTCCCAAGGATGCATCCACTTTGAAACGGAGAAGCATCGCAGGACGCTGGTACTTCACCTGGGGTCGTCGCCAGCCCGTTGAGAAATGCAACTTGCATGCTCTCTTGAAGCGTTCCATTCCACTGAAGCAACCCAACCCCAACTGTCCATTGGAAAAGCAACGTGCAGCCAAAGCCACCAAAGAAACCCAAGCAGACCCATGCTGCGACGACCTACACCACGCCAGCACAAGACCTCGACATCAAATTGTTCCATGTCACGCATACGCACGGGTTGTGTTGCATTTTGGGGGACATGGGATAATAAAAAATGGTCTCTCGTGAGCGTCACATCGTATTACTCGTTACTTGGCACGGAAAGGACGAAAGAGACGGCATTCTGGGGCGCGTTTAGTAGTCCGATCCACCGCCAAACATGTCCATGCCACCGCCGAGGTCCGCTTCTTCTTCTTCTTCCTTCTTTTCTTCCTTGGCAGGGGCCGCGGCACCGCCAGCAGGGGCGGCAGCAGCACCAGCCGAGGCACCACCACCGACGGAGACAGTGGCGAGCTTGGCCTGGCCGGCAGCAATGACTTCGTAGATGTCCTTGCCTTCGACTTCCTTCAAGAGGAGTTCCAACTTTTCCGAGTCGACTTCACCACCGACGGACGTGATAACCTTTTCGACATCCGCCGCAGAAGGGGTCGTGTTACCGCCCAAGACAACCAAGAGAAAAGCAGCAACGTGACGCATCTACATGCACGGACATCAGCGGCATCCCGTCGCGCGCGCGCAAACCCACCTTGTTTAAGGAAAAATGGACCGGAAGACGTCTTTTTCACCACTGACGAAAACCAACCAAGTTCACCTGGGGACGACCAATCAACGAGGCCAACCGAGATGGCCCAATCAGTGGCAAGCAATTGATTTCGCGCCGGTGATTGGCTAATGAGTTGTATTTTGAACCAATCCATGAGGTTTGGACAGAGACCGTCATTGGAAGTTCACAAACAACAGAATCGTCGACGATTCTGCTATAGAGAATGGAGCCCAGCAGATGGAGGAGCTTCATGGAGTCGTTGGACCAGCATACGTGCGTGAAGATTCACGTCCCAACAAAGTCCCAGACTGTGCTGTCCCAGCTCAGGTGTCGCGATGGTGTGTGGATTCCATTAGGCGGCACCCGACGTGTCCGACACCACAAGCAGTAAAAAGCTCGTCGTTGCATTCACGCTGCACAAGAATAAGACTTTACAGGAGGACCACAAGATGGAACTCTGTCGATCCAGCTTATATGTGCTTCTTGTCCGTGCAGGTGGAGTCGAGTGCCGCGACTCGTGCAGCAGACATCACGAGGGAAATGACGCCTCCAGTCAATTCATGATAGAATTTCGGAAGCGACCCATCGTTATTGCATGGCCACGCCGTGCCGTGCATCCGAGCGTTTCGAGTGCACTAAATATACTACCTGCGATCGCAGTGTCAGTGCCTTGATGAATGGCTGGTCGGTCGATTTGATCCAGTGTGTTGGATCTCTTGCTAGTACATGCCAGTCGCACTGGGAGTTTACATCCACCACCTCAACAACTCGTGCATTATCTACCGAATGCCGAGGCAAATCAAGGCCGTAGAAAGTTCCGTCGACACGTGTGCATGAACACTTCTCGAACTCGGTCCCATTTCTACATGGCTTGGACCTCGAACTCCATCTGAGTCATGTACGCCGCCAGGTCTCAGCCTTCATTTCATGCCATGCATGGGTATTTTATCTCTTGTTCTTGGTGGTGATCTTAAATCACCGAGCACCTCGCATAGCCCAGGGATGCGACGGCGGTGGCTCCTCCATCCCAAAGTCCGGCACATTTCTCGAGTCCATCTACATTCCCTTCCAAGGCAAGAATACCAACCTAACGCGAGCCAACGACTACAACGTGTCCTCATGGAGCTTTGTTTTCGTCGAAATCGGGTTCATCGGCCTCGTTCGACAGCGCTCGCCGTCCGAGTGAGCCGCATCGCCGACAACTTTGGGCTGCACCACGCGTCAGCACGGCCAAGACGGCGTTCCACGTATGCTTCTCCAAGTTGCCGTTTCCCTCTGTTCACATGTTTGCATTGGAATGGCTAGTTTGACGAGAAACACGTCAACGATGTTGCTTCTTCGGTCCTGCTTCACTCATGTTTCACCTTCAATGTCGTGGATCACCTCCGGTCGGTCCATCAGGGAGGCATGGGGTTGTCCAATCCCTTCACACCGAGCCGACGCGATGTCTCTCTTCGAAGCATTCCTCCTTCATCCCGACGCCTTCCGCGCCACTCTCGAGTTCTGTCGGATGGAACATCGTCTGGAACGCTTAACGCAATTCGAAGCCACCCCGACATGACGGGCGTCAGAGCACGTGTTTCAACGTGCTATGGCCCGTAGTGCTTGCACGCCACAGTGGCGCGCTCAATGCAGAATGATGTGGTGGTACTTGCCGCCCTCGACACCCCTCGCCCCCATTTTCTTTGACTATTTCCGCGCTCCTCCAATACAGGCAAGACGTCGAGTTTCCTCCTACATTCCAAATGCATCTTGACATGAATCCTCGACCGCATACGCGCTGTCGAGAAGCTCGACCAAGTGCTCACGATGATCAGTCAACAAAACTCGTTCAAAGCGCGTCCCAAACTGGAGTTGCCACTGCACGCTGCTACTATTCACATGAAGATGCTGCCAGCAGTCAAAGTGACTTGGAAGAGATCTGCCTCGCTAGATCACTTTTGTATCGCGACGTATAGTGAACGCTGCTGTCGGGTTTGCATGGCAAGCAGATTTTCGCGTGGACCCGTCGAGTGGACTACATCGAACGCCTATGTTTAGCTCACGGTGGCGAATCCAGGTCCTACCAAGCCACGAAACAGCTCCACACGCGCTGCGCGGGGGGGCGACGGGTGGTTGCGGTGTGCCAGGAGTCCTGAAGAGCTCTGCCGCGGCGACGCTGTTCTGACGCAAGATGTATCGTGGTTGCCGTTCCACCGTGTCACGCGACGACTATAAATGGACCACGGACCTGTTTTGCACAAGAAAGAATGCCAGGGTCTTCGCCGCCAGGGGCCATGATTCCGCTCCTGGCGAGTTGGATTTCTTGCTTGTACATGCCTGCCGCGTGGGGGCTGTACAACCACCGACGCAATCACCCGTTCATGAAGTACCGACACCCGCGGCGCATGGCGGTGATCGCTGGATGCTTTGGAGTGTGCGCGCTGACACTGCCCATTCTCGTCTGCACCGATGCGTCCTGCCTCTTCTACTCGCTTTGGTTTTCGCTTGGCATGTGCGCTGTGTAAGTCCATCGAGTGTTCGCCGTCGTTCGTTGACACCAATGTGTGCAGGGTCGCGTACCTCCTCATGCAGTGGGCCATCGTCGTGACCTTCCAGATCACCGAGCTCCTCGCGCAGCCGAAGCTCGCCACGGCCCAAACTGTCTTCCGGACGATGCAGCGCCGGTGGTTCCTTCACCCAAGAGTGCAAAGGACCATGTTTGTCGGCACCATTGCCCTCATCCTCGTGCCCATCTACTACCCATACTCTGTCGACGCAAAAGAGTTCATGATGCATACACGCGGCGCTTGCTTTGATGAAGCGTCGTGGAACTTCCTACTCGGTGAGCTCGGGATCATTGGCGGTGTTTCCTGTGCCCTGGCCGTGCAAGTGAGCCGTGTAGTCGACAACTTTGGATTACGCGCAGCCTTCCTCAGCACTGCCAAAGTCGGCGTGCTGTGCTTGCTGCTTCAACTGGTCATCTCGATTGGTTCGTTCAACCTGCACTGGACCTGGCTGAGCGACTATTACGTCTTGGACACGATGGCGTCGCTGCCGTTCCACGCCTTCTACTACTTTAATGTTGTGCAGCCCCTCCGCTCCATTCTCTTACCATCCCTGTTTCGCCAGCGCGTCATGGTGCTGTCGTGCCCGTTTTCCCAGCACAGATACCACTCGACATCGCACTTTCACGCCTTTCTTCTCCATCCTGACGGCTTCCGCTCCTTTCTCGAGTTTTGTCGAATGGAACTGCGGCTGGAGCTGCTTCTCGCGTGGCAAACGCTGACACAATTCGAAGCCGCCCCGACGACCCGAGCGGCCGAGCAAGTGTTCCAAGCGTGCTTTTCTCCCCACTGCATCTACGCCACAGCCATTGGGAACCAGTGGCGGCCGCACTTTCAGCCGCTTCGACAAACGTGGACCCAAACGACAACATTTCTCCCGCCAACTCTTTTTCGCACCGTCACGGCTGCCCTCCTCCAGTGCATGTATGATGTCCAGTTCCCTCGTTTTCTCCAGCACCCGGCCGGTATCCTGGCATGGCACGAGTTCCTTGACCGCAAACGTGCCGTGGAGAAACTTGACCAAGTGCTCACGATCGTCGATCGGCAGACGTCGTCGTTCCAGATGAAGCTCCATCGTCCTCTGCCCTTTCACGGCGGATAAGGCGATGCCCATCGAGGTGAAGTTCGTGGACTCTGTCGTCGTCTGGGGTGGACAACGACCGGACGCATGACATGGCAGCCGTCTGTTGCATTGCCCGCGAATTAAAAAGGGAATTGGATGGAACCTCGATTTGAATCAGTCATGCAACTCCCGCCGACCTCGCCACCACTTGGTCTAGACTCTCCATGCGATCAATGCGGTCAAGGCATAACTGCCATGATGCTGAAACATTAGAGGGAGCAGAGTACACGTCGTGCAACGCGATCGTGATGGCGGAGGTCAATTAGGCAGGTCTGATGGATAACCACCGACTTTGATAATGTCTTTGTATGCATTGGAATGGTTTAAACCTTCCGTAATGCCGCCAAGCGCGCCGTCAAGTCGTCCGTTGCCTGCGGTGCTGGCGCTGGTACCGCGACGTGGGACCCAACTGCTCCTGCAGAGTCCAGTTGGCCAGCGATGACCAGTCCATTCTCGTCAGCCACCATCTGAATCAAATCGTCGACTTGATCGGCAGGGGTTGCACCCGCAGTCGTACTGTTCATCGCCCCTTCCATGTACGCTGCACGAACGTCGAGATCTTCAAACTGTCGCTCGAACTGGTCCATTGTCTTGGAGATCTTTTCGACGTTCATCGAATCCATGACGACGTTCATGCCCTTGACCACACCCGCCATATTCGACTTCAGGTTTCCCATACTGATTGCAGTCTGCACACGTGCCGCGACAGCATCGATTCGAGAGCTCAACTGAAGGTAGTTCAGTGCCTGGTTCTTTTCCCTGATTGCGTTCTGGGCGTAAATCTTGGCTCCTTCCATGTTTCCCTTTTCGATAGCCTGCTTTAACTTGAGCTTCTGAGCGATCTGGTTCTTCTCGCACTTCTTTGCGTTTCGCACGAGGGACTTGGCCGTGAAGCGCATCTTGAAGAGCTCATCTTCAAGCGTCGGCCGCTTGAGGAAGTCGAACATGGGAAGAACGGCGTGTGCTGAAATGCCAAATGGGAACACAACCCCGCACTTTGCATATCCGGATCCATGTTCCGGATAATTGGAGTAACCTTGTCCGGAGAATGTAGGTGACGCACGCCTGATCAACATTCTTCAGGCAATTTTTAATAGAAAGAAACTCGAGGGGACCATGGCTGGAGTCGCCGTTCCTTGTGCACCCGACCCATACACACCAGGAACGACATCTCGACTGCCGAGCACACCGATCTGTACGCGCCTATCTGCAATGTGCTCGTGTGAGTGGCATGCGCCATTCTGACTGTTGTGTTCCCCGTCATGTGCGAGATGACCATCGACTCAAAGCAAGCATTGGACCAAACGGACTGTGAGCGCGTTGCCAGTGCAGTGCCATGACCATCGATGACGTCAACCGCCTGTACTAGCTCGTAGTTCCGTCCTGAGTTGTGTAGGCGGCCGTGCGTTTTGAAGAGCGAGTAGTTCTCGAGAAGATACGAAGGAATGGCTGGGAGGGCCTCCATTATGATGTTGTCCCTCAGCAACCTATTCGAAAGAGAAGGCCGAGAATTCGAGGCAGTTGGGTTCGATCATCCTGGTCGAACCGTTCGTCCAAACGCTCCAGGGTCCACCCTCGTGCCATCGCAGCCCCAACAAAATCGGACGTGTGGTGGGTATAGCATGTCACTTCCTCAACTCGCCCTGTAGCCGCCGATTCGAACCGCGCCTTCGTCCCAGTAATCTGCTTCATCGGATGAAGCTCACCAACATAGACGCGCCCACCGGCCTTTAGAACTCTATCCGCTTGTTCGAACACGACATTTAAGTCTTGGACGTGCTCCAGGACCAAACTGAATGTGACGAGGTCAACCTTGGAGGTAACAAACGACGTCCATGGGGTTTCCACCATGTCTGCCTTGACAAACGTCACATGTGGAGAGTTCACTTTGGTCGCAGCGATGTCGAGCATGGCTTGCGTCAGGTCCACGGAGATGACTCGATCGCACTTGGTCTGGAGCCACGCCGTATTCTTACCTGTCCCACAGCCCATTTCGAGGGCATCGGTGAACTTGTGGGATGACAGGAAGTCGTGGGCCACGGCGCCTTCCAAGTCCCGCGTTCGATTCGTGTTGGTGTCATAGATGGCCGACCATCGCGAGTACGCGGCTTCAATGTTCATGTCGACCCACGAGATATTGAAACTGTGGGTTTCCGTCCACCTATTCACCCGCATACCAAGGGTGTGTCGGGATTTTAAAAACTCTGACGGACGGGGGCAGCGTTATGACCACAAATGCTCGCACCGAACAAGCCAGAGCCTCTGCGCTGTGGTATCAGCACAGCTCCGCAGACCGTCCAAGATATGCCCGAGAGTTGTGGAGAATGTCGTCGCTGCTCCCTAGGCGACGCAAGTGCCCCAGACTCATTTTTATTGCAGAAGTGTCGTCTCAAGATATCCCAACTAACAGTCAACTTATCTCACTACGACCTTGCTGAATGCATACAAGACTAACTAGTACTACTCCCAGTACTACTAGTAGAACACACATTCTCCGGATAATTCGTAGTTCGAGAGTCGAAGAATGATGGTCGAGCGTTGGAACTTGTTGGAACATGTTTGGAATGCCACAAGGTCGGTGGCATTCTGGATTGAGGTCATGAGGCCAAAGCGCAAGGCCACGTTGGGCCCTTCGCCGTCTCCAGAAAGCGCACCAACCAAACGTCGTACGAAAGCAGTTGCACGTCCACCTCCTTCGCATGCTATAAAGGGCCCAGCACGAACGAAATTCACAGCCAAATCTCCAGCCGCAAGCAAACGTGCCTCGAGCTCATCTGCCGAAACACCAGCCACCAGCACAGGGCTCGCAAAAAACAAGGCAAAGACGATGAAAGATCGCGTATTGTACGTGCTGGCGAACGCTACGGTTCTCATGGGTCTCCCGACCCTCAAGAAACACCTCATGGAGGAGTTTGCCCTGCAGGAATCGAAAGTGTTCAACACAAACGTCAAGAAGGCACTGGCGGAGTTGAGTGCATCCCCTCGCGACGACATTGGAAAGATTGGTGGGTCTTACCACGCTGGGATGTCCAGTGTGGCCTACAAAGCAAAGGAAAAAGCGGACGCAGAGTTGGAGGATGCCCAGAAATACATCGACCAGGGGTGCATCAAGTGCTGTTTCTGTGGAGAGTGGTGCCCTGGCGACTGCGAATTGGGCGAAGACTCGATTGCGAGAGGGTCCAAGTACAGATGCGTCTCATGCAACAAGATCTTTTGGAGTTGGATTTCCGATGGGTACACAGTTGCGCATGAAGTCGAGTACAAAAAGTCGTTCAATTATTAAGGCAAGTTACACGCGATTACATCACCAGTACGGCGGAGTGAGGCCACCATTCATGGTCATGCCGACTGAATGTCATGGCTCCGTTGCCTAGACTCGTCAAGTGGCATGTCACAACTTTATGTTGAACATGATCCCGCGAAAGCAGCTTTTGCGCACGCGCGCGACGTCGTCCAGGCGCATCTCTTTTGGCATCCTCTGTACATCACAGATACGCCTGGGCCGCCCCATACCGCAGCACATTCCAGAGCACCTCGTCTCGCGCTAGCTACCACCGCCCTTTGAGAGCAGCACAAGTACGCGCCAGGACGATCGATACCATTTGAGGAAAGTTGTTTCCTTTCATCCAGAAGAAGGCGATGAAGGAGATCGGGCTGGAGAAATCCTTGGCATTCGACACAAAGAGATGAAGGAACTTGAGCAATATTGCATCTGGTGACAAGACTTTGGGGTTTGTAAGGTCGCCCATAGAGACCAGCGTTCTTGGCTGGGATGGCCAAAGTGGAAGATTGCTTGTGAAGCTATCTTGTTGTGGTAGCATTGCAGTGCCGTGTACCTGTAGTACACCCTGCGAACTAAAGTGCAGCAACACGTCATTCCATCGATCCAACTATATTCGCGTGTCAGTCGTCGACAGGACTACACGTTCGGTGCCTACGAGCATACTCGACAGGGTGCGTGGCGCCGTCGGAAATCCAAGTCCAGTACACTGTGTCACAATTGCTGCATCGGAATGCACACCCTCGGGAGGTCGAGTCTTCATCGAGAAAGGTCGAGTCGCAATGGGTATGGCAGTGACAGCACATCATCCAGTCCTCATTGATACCGGCGCTGCTTCCTTCAGGTGGCACGTATGAAGCAGGTTTGGCCTGATGGGCAATAAAAGCTGGGCTGTTGGGTCCTCCATGGTACGATCCGTTGTGCCGGCCGAAATCATCGCGTGGTCCGCTCGAGCTGAGATCTCGCAGCGCCTTGTTCACGTTCGTATTGAATAACTTGGACTCGACCATGCCAAAGTCCGACACGAGACGCTTCTTGATCGTACGTAGTCCAATCAAGGCTGGGGCGTCTTGAAGAATGAACAGGATGCGGTCTTTGATGGACTTGGCACTGGAGACGCCACGTGTCGAGCCTGCGGACTTTACGACAGGTTGGGTTCTCTTGGAAGGGCGTTTGCTTTGGGAATGCTTTGCTGCAGAAGCGTTCGTCGCAGGTTGTCGAGCCATTCAGTTTTCTCAAATGTCGCCCCCGTCTGAAAGCGTGAGAGACAATCACTCTCGTGCTTTGTCGAATGTTTGCGACATGCTCAGCTCCAGGAATTGCGTCTGAATTGGTTGGTTCAACAGGAGCACGCACCTGATGGATAACCTGACGACTCGGCCTACGCATCATGCAGCAGCAGGCATAAGTCTGGCTGTGATTCCGGAGATCCAATCCACAGCCGGTGTGGGAGTGTCGTCGTCCAATGTGGTGGGGTACGTAGTTGGACTAACCAAATTACATTTCAACAAGTAGTCCTAACGTGTTCATTTTTATCCTTCTACCACAGAGCACCGTTCCATGCACGTATTCGTCTTGGAATGCATTCGTCCAAGCCCATGGACGCGATCACGATGGTCCTCAGTCGATCATCCAAGCGATCTGGTGCAGCATGGGAATTAGTAGACGTTCCTGGCAGCAGTTTGCGCTCGTTGTTCTTCTAGTTTTGACAAACACTCCTCAGATACCATCATTCCCGTGTCCGTCCATCATAGCACGCCACGCACTCGCCTGGCGTCGTGGCTGTGCCAACACGCCGGAACTCCATGAAGCCACGCTAAAGTCGCTCAAGGACCGCATCGTGCATATTGTTTGGAACGCACCAAAAAGGATGGGGGCGACTGCCGTCAAGAAGAAGCTGATGGAAGAGTTTGGGGCTGGAACAGTCCCAGGCGTTCGATGCAAAGATGAGGAAGGCGCTCAAGGAGCTTCTAGACAACGACAAGCGGCAAGACTTTGGGGCTAGCGGAAGGAGGCAAGACCAGCGCTGCGTACTTGGTTCGATTCTCCGAGCAATTGAAAGAGTTCAAGCAGGAGGGGCGGATTCCATGCTGTCACTGCAAGAAGTGGATACTGAACGAGTTCATTCGAGAGGACTATGTGGCCAGAGGGGGTGAGTTGCAATGCATTGGCTGCAACAAGACGTACTGGATTTCAGACATGTAATTGGAAGTCGACGAGTGCCGATTTGGTTTGGCCGGATTGAGTACATGGAGATTTTAGATGATTTGAACACGTCCTGCGAAAGATCACAATGCGTCAGGACAAGTCGTTTGCCCGAGTACACGCCATTGTGTGCATCACAGTCGCATGTGTCTCATGGGCATGCACAAGTGATCTTGAAGACACAACTCGGTCAACCAAAGGTGCTACTTTGCGGCAAGACCTTTGTTCTAGTCTCCACCACTCTCCATGTCTGCATGTGGCCCATAGCAACGGACGACACGGGACGCGACCTAAGTTGGAGTCGTGCCACTGGATGGGGTTGCACATATCCGCACCACGATCACTGACATCGCACCAACCCCTCGACAATCCAGCTGTGGCCTCTGGCAAGTATATGGGGCTTCTCGGGAATGTTATGCCCTCGACAACTCTTTTGTGAATTGATCCAGCCTTATCACTCCTTCTTGCCAATGCCATGGACGGAAAAACCCAGTCGGCGCAAGTGGTCGTGCGGGAGGAGGTTCCGCCCGTCAAAAATGAACGCTGGCTTGAGCATGGTGTCGTAGATGCGCGTGTAGTCGTACGTCTTGAATTCCTCCCACTCGGTCAGCACAGCCAGCGCATGGGCCTTGTCCACCGCGGCATATGCATCATGGACAACATGCACATGATTTTGAATCTCGTCGCCCGCCAGGCCTTGGTACTTCAGCTCGTTCACGAGGTCGTCGAGCTCGACTTTTGGATCGTACACAAATACCTGGGCGCGCTCGGCCACAAGAACCTTCATGATGGCCGCCGCCGCCGTCTCCCTTGTGTCCCCCGTGTCTTTCTTGTAGGCAAAGCCAAAGATCCCAATCTTTTTTTGCGTGACCGTGTTGAACAGCGTGCGGACAATCAGCGTGCCAAACCTGTGCTTCTGGTACTCGTTCATCGTGACAACACTGCGCCAGTAAGCCGCAACTTCCGGCAAGTGGAACGACTCGGCCAAGTAGACCAGGTTGAGCAGGTCCTGTGCACGGGTACCCATTTAGATCGCGAGTGTGAAAACGACTTGCACAAAACCTTTTGAAAACACGACCCTCCAAACCCCACCGACACCTCGAGGAACTTGTTTCCGATGCGGGGATCGGTCCCCACCGCCTTGGCGACTTCTGTCACGTCTGCGCCTGAGTGGGAACTGTCAAGTGGACAGACGAAGGCTCTGAAGTACCCGTGGCTTCGCAGATGGCCGAGATCGAGTTGATGCTCGAAATTCGCTGGGCAAGAAAGGCATTCGCGACTAGTTTCGACAGCTCCGACGACCAGACGTTCGTGGTCAGAATTCGATCTATAATCGAATGTTCACGGACGGTGAGGAGAAGAACTCTGTACCTGATGGAATCCACTGCTCGTAGATTTGAACTAGGGTTCGCACTGCAGCCTGCCCGGCGGGCGTGCCCCCGCCACCGATGAGGACACGGGACGGAGAGATGAGATCCTCTACGGCAGTGCCTTCGCTGAGAAACTCTGGGTTCGATAGCACCTCGAAGTGGACGCTGCTTCTGCACAACCCATCAAAATGTACACCCATAAGGTCAATATTCACTGAAAGTCGAGTGTACGCACTTGCTGTTGGCGTTGAAGACTGCCATGAGAACTTCGGCCGTATGAACCGGCACCGTCGACTTTTCCACCACAATTTTGTCGCTCATGGCATACTCGGCGATCATGCGTGCACACAGCTCGATGTTTTTGGTGTCGGCGGCAGCGCCAGCTCCAATTCCGGCAACTTTGGTTGGGGTGTTGACACAGACGAAGATGACGTCGGCTTCCTTGATATGTCGGTCAATATCTGTGGAGAAGAAGAGGTTCCTTCCTCTCGTGGCCCGCACAAGTGCCTCCAGGCCTGGCTCGTAGATGGGCAAGTCAAAGTTCGCCGAGTTCCATCGAGCGATCTGCTTCTCTGCTACGTCGACGACCGTGACGCGGATCGAAGGGCAGAACTTGCTAATCACAGCCATCGTCGGACCGCCGACGTAGCCTGCGCCCATGCAGCATACCTTCAACGAATACGGACCGTCCATGGCGCTGCAGGGAGTGGTGGTCAATGGTGCATTGGCTCGATCTGCCAACCTTGGTCGTTGACTCTATAATTCAATATACAGAACCAAAATCTTGCAATTGTTCAATATAAATAATGAAAGGTCATCAAAACAAACAGTGTCCAAAGTTGCCACGGCATCATTTCGCGTCAGTGGCCAGAAGCAGATGAGTGCGACGAAGCGCGATCCAATCCTGGATCTGGCGAAGTTCATCGACCAGAGCGTCCAAGTGAAATTTGCGGGAGGTCGGGAAGTACGCGGCACCTTGAAGGGTTACGATCAGCTCGTCAACTTAGTGCTGGACGACGCGGTCGAAATGTTTGAAACACCAGGGAAGACGCGGGAGTTGGGACTGCTTGTGTGCCGAGGCACATCCGTGATGCTGATATCCCCCGTGGATGGTACGGAAGAGATCGCCAACCCGTTCGCCCAAGAGCAAGATGAAGAGTAATGCGTGACAATGAAAAGTTGATGTTATTCCACTCCGAGTTCTCGCTCGGCAGGATCAATGCTTTCGTGCTTCAGCTAGATTTCGTAATGAGCTGCCGGAGGGGAAAGGTTCTGGCGCACGAAACTTAATCGATGAAGCTTTGGTGGAACAAGCTGGTGAAGGAAATGCAGATGACCTGGGGAGGTTCCCTTGCTGTTCACATGGTAACTTAATAGCGGTATTTGGTCGAGTAATCCTTGGGCGAGATGACCAGACCACGGCCCTTGCGAGCGCCGCGGTAGACTGTCTCGATGATGTCAATCATTTCCTTCTTGTTGTTGAATGCCCAGTTGATCTTGTTGTTGTTACCCGTGCCCAAGTCAATCATAATGTGCTTGTTTCGGTAGAAGAACATGACGGTGCACGGGTCATACAGCTCGTACATGGTGTTGAAGTCGGGCACTTCCGTGATGTCGACGACGTAGACAACGGCAAAGTTCTTGACGTCTTCAGCTATGCCGCACAGCACCTCGTCCATTTGCATGCACACGGGGTCGTGGTCGTGGCCAAAGCGCATCACTACCACGCGTTCCCCTTCCGACATGATGGCTTGGTCCACGGCCCAGCCAGTGCACAGGTGCGGCAGCATGTACGACATCGCGCGTCGGTCCACTCCGTCCAAGCCCTTAAGCTCACAAGTGCCCCAGTTCGTAAGAAGGAACAATCCGGATAATTCGTGTTATCCGAATACAGAATTTTCCAGCAACGATGACACTATCCGTAAGATCAAGTTTATCCGGATTACGCGCTCGGTTAAATAATTTATTGCTCCTCAACTACGGCGGCAAGATTGAAAAAGCGCGCATACCGCTTCCGTCGTCGGGACACAACGGCGACGGGAACGATGAACCCGTGGGTTTTGAACTGGCGATCCCAAGCGCGTACGACCTCTTCTCCAATCACTCCATTCGTGTAGAGAAGGTCCTGCAAATGCGGCATCGCCACGTCATCAGGGGTTTGCATCTTGTTGTTGGGCAGGTCCAAGTCGGCGCCAGCCGTGAGTAAAATGTACGTAGCATACACGTGTCCGGCTTCGCATGCCGCATGCAGCGCAGTGTTCCCCGCAGCATCTTCGGCGAATACATCCGCACCTTGGTCTAATAAATACGCGAGAATATCAGCGTGGCCGAGCTCGGCCGCCAACATCAGCGGTGTTCTCTGCTCCTTCGACAAAACATCCACTTCGGCAAATGTCTCTTGAGCGAGTTGTGTCATATACAATGATCCCGAACGAATCGCTGCATGCAAGGGGTGTTCCGTGGCTTCAGGCAGCGCGAGGAATCGTTGGGCGTCTTCCGGAGTGAGTTGTGGCGGCATGGCCTGGAGAAAGATGGGGAGGTTTGTCTCGTCATACATCTCCGAGGATGTCACCAGACCCGTCGAGGACGATTTCGACACATAGAACTTGCTTCCGAGGCACAGGCAGAGGTAGATCATCATGAAGGACATCTTGGACACCCGCGCGTGGTTCGACGACGTAGCCGCATCCATGTCGCTGGCCTGGGTTATGGCGGCGGCTTGAACCAAAGACGTGAGGACCATGCTGGAGCAGGTAAGTTCTAAAATATGCCCTCTTGGCGATGGAGTGTCGTGACTCTGTGGATCTCGTCAGCACCATTTGACCTGGCACGTGCCCATTTGCTGGTGGAGTTACACCGTGATTTTACCAGGCCTGTCCAGAGAAGTGGTTGTAGCCACGTGCTTTTAAAAGAAATATTCAAATATTAGTTTCCGAGAGGTCCACTTGAGAACGTTTTTGTTTGATGCGTTTCATCCAACAATCATTCTAAAATAGTTTGTATTACATGAAGTACAATTTGTCATATAAAAAGTATATTGTGTACTCTACATATATTTAGTTTTAAAGGTTTCTTTCGGGATGTGCAGTTTCCATGCACACTGGACAATCCCAACGTAATGTTTGTAGCGATAGGGAGTTTGCCGAAAATACCCCCCTCGATTGGGCGTTTTTTGAAAGTCTGAGATGTTTTTCCACGGTAAAAAGGGGGAAACTTCCCACGTATCAATTTACCGCCGCCGTAACTTGGCATGCTCCAACCAGATACATACAGAGGTTTGGCAGAGAGTCCATGACTCACACGACGCCACCTTAGTTTGAACGATCGAGGAAGGTTCTGCCGTAGATCGACGATGCAAGCAGCGTCTGCTTCTCCACATGCGTATCGCACTCGATGAGGCGCGCGTGCATTCAGTGTGTACTGGACATGGGCATTTCTCACCGCTGGTTCCTCTTCTACCTTGCCAGTTTTGTCTTCGTGATGTTGAGAGGTATCGATTCGCAGTTCAGCAGATTGGCCTGAGAAAAACGTTCGAATACTCACACGTTTGAAATGTCACTGTCGTGCTAAGCTTATCCGTGTGACTCGGGTGCTCTATTGAATTCACCCGAACGAGTTACACCGACAAGGGCATGGCTTGTTCCAATCCACCTAACGCAGACGATGCTCGGTGTATCGATCCACGGGGCACAGCCTTACCAAATATAGCCAAGCTCACTCCCAGCGCAATGCCATGGGTTAGGCCAGCATACACGACGGCTTGTTTTGTTGCCATGCCGTTGAGTTCGTTGACCCAAGACGATACAGTAGACAGCGATCCGCAAAACCCATGGACGATAGCGGCTTGGGCCCACTCCGGCTAAGAAAGTCACTGGGGCGACTGTTTGACGAGTGTGGCGTACCTCTCGGAGCCAGAGTAGCACGACGCAGTCTACGGCTGACGCCACCACGTTTGCCGCCAACGTGCCAAACGGCAGCGTGGACGAGTTCAACCGCTTACCTAGCTCGTATCGAGCGAGCGCCCCAAACGGTGCAATCCACAGGGCGCTCCATGTGGGCAGATGGATGATGACCGCGATTGTCACCAAGGCAGTCCCGCAGGCGAAGGCAGCGAGACTCAAGCGTGGCATCAGCCAGACCAATTTGGATGGCGTCGCGACGAAGTCAACTTCGCCTTCTTCATGGGGCTCAAGGAGGGTGTCCAGTGCTTCCACGACAACCTGCCACTTTGCATCAGTCTGTAGTGATCTTGCCAGCGCCGTCGCGCGAAGTTGCGATGCCAAGACAGCTGGGCTCTGCCTTTGTTCTTCGCATATTTTTGATCCGATGAATTCGCCACCCCAGTGAGAACCAAAGCAACACATGAGCTGGACGAAGAAGACAAATGTGGCATTCACAGCAAGATGAGTCAGGTACTGATGTGCCGTGAACAGCTCCCACGATGCGAACGTCGTGCAGCAGCCGCAAAACCCGGTTGTGATGCCCGTCCAGACTGCGTCGAACTGTGTGTACTTGACCTTCAAAGGCTGACACATGCCCATGAAAAAGCACCCGACAACGTTGGCAAGGAAGAAGGACCGTCCCAGGTCCGTGAGGATACTTGGCCGGGCTTGAGTCCTCTCCAGCGTCGTCGTAAGCTCGCCCAATCCAATACGGACGGCAACGCCGATGTACGCAAAGATCCATATCCAAAGGACGACATGCACCCGCGACGAGATGGGCGGCGGCTGGCCAGGTGTCCACTGCAAATACATATCTCAAATGTGCACACTGGATACACTATTTGATGTCAACCGAAAATAGAGTAAAGCGATCCACCAATCCTATCGCAAGTTGAAACATTCCTCGTTCGCAATGTGGTGGCGGATATTGCCAGGAGCACGGCACTCGGTGCGCCATTGCCGGCCCTTCCATCATGTCCCAGTGCTCCCGACGGACACACTGAAGATGTGGGCACCGCGTTGTGTAGATTCTGGCCGCAACGTTCGATACTTTGTCGATGGCACCGTGGGATTAGGAGGGCACTCGAAGCTGCTGCTGGAGCAATCTTCGTCTGCGCGCTTGCTATGCATCGATCGCGACCCAGAAGTTCGTTGCTGCATGACCATCCTACGTTCACACCTTTCCGTAGATCCTTGAACAAGCAAGTCGGTTGTTGGCGCCATATTCCGATCGCGTGGTGTTTGCACACGGATCATACATGGACATCAAGTCTCATCTAGCGCAAGCTGGTGCATCAACAGCTACATCGGCCGTCCTGACCACCGTTGCCAAGTTAGGTTTTCCTGACGTAGTTCAAGGCATTCTTGTCGACTTGGGAGTGAACAGGTGTTCCTTCGTCCATCGTTCCATTGCTACTTCTAACGATACCACGGACTAGTCATCATTTGGACGCTGGGAAGCGGGGATTCAGCATCTATCACGACGGGCCATTGGACATGCGGTTCGATCCATCTACAACCACACCGACAGCCTCGGATCTCGTCAACACTTTGTCGGAAGCTGCTTTGATTAAGGTGGTACAAGTTTGAAAGTGGACATCTCATCGGGGGGGATAGCACAGATCTTTACACAATATGGAGAAGAGCCGCTCGCGAAAGAGTTTGCAAAAGCAATCATACGGCGACGGGAGGGCCACCCGTTCACACGAACGAACGAGCTCAAGCGATGCATCGAAGCGATCGCAGACAAGTGGAAGACCAGAAAGCCCACCAAGGGCAAGAAAACCATTCACCCAGCGACCAGAATCTTTCAAGTGAGTGTACTGCATCCGCAGTACGTATGATGCATGCTGATGGAATTTCCAGGCATTGCGCATCTCCGTCAACTCCGAGTTGGACCATCTTCAAGTAGGCGGAGTGTCCTGGCCATGATTCATGCTGGGTGGCGTAGAAAGGCATGCCGGCGTTCCTCGACTGTTTGGCCATCGATGGGCAGTTGGGTGGGTCGCTCGTGGGAACTCGACAAACGGTCATGGTTCATGTCGTAGCCACGATCGCGTTCCACTCGCTTGAAGACCGATGGATCAAGCGATTTTTTCGAGACATCATCGACGACACGGAGGTACAGTGGGAAGACGGGTGTCGGGGAGCTGTCTCCATGGAGCTCTGCGTAGGCATTCGAACTTGTCGTACGAAAGGCAGTCCAAGCAACGGACGATGAAGTGACGGCAAACCCGCGGAGCCGCAGCGCCAAATTGCGCGGCATTCGACGCATTGCGCCACCAGACCTTGCATAGGTCTGTGTGTTTCATGCAAAACTTGTGTACCGACATGTTGTTCCATGCTACATCCAGCGAATGACAAGGAATAGAAATTTAAAAAGGGTCGGTGGCAAATAAGTAAAAATGAGGGCACGCCATCCAGCTATCGCAGGGTGCTTTGGAAAAGTCGATGAGCCCACGTGTCGCGATCGACCGTAGTCGATGCTTGGAGGTGGAATACCTTGTCTCCACTTAACTTGACCTGGAAGTCTTGGTGTCCCTTCTTCGCGACCGAGCAGACGTAGCCACGAAAGATTGGCACGCACCACGGCTGCATGTTTTCGTACAAAGTAAGCATGTTGCCTTGAAGTACGAAGTACTTGATGCCTTTGTCCCCGCGCAACCAACCGGCATGATCCACGCCGTCGCCCACGCTCGGCGATTCGTCCTCGCTAATGGTGGCAACTGTGGCTGCGAACGAGTCGTCCACGAAAGAACTTGTCTCCTTCTGTCGTTGCACCAACGTTGCTGCTCGCTGGCAAGCACGAACCCACTTGTAGTCACCAGTGGAGCTTTCGGTACGAACATGAATCACCATGCCGCTCGAACCGAAGATTTTGAATCCTTTGTTCGTGCTCTCGACGTAAACCACGCGCAGGACACCGCGAGGTGTACTGTCAGTTTTACTGGACACAATGGTTGGGGTGGTGGGAGTCGTCGGGGTCAATGTATCAGGTATGTTGTCGTAGAAGGACAGTAACGGGCCGCATAAGACAAAGTACTTCCGCTTCCAGAGCGAGAACACGCCAGATTTCTTCCACAGCCAACCCTGTGCATCGTTGCCAGAGGACGTCGCGTCGGACATGCCGCGACTATGCGTGTGGTTTGCAGGAGGCATCTTCGCACGTGCTGTCTGGTCGGCGGATGGCAATGGGATAGGCCGTGCGAAGAATACCACATGGGATCGTTCGTTATTCAATGTCAAAATTGATTTGTCCCAATTCCTCGTACGTTTCCTCCAACGCTTGACCCTTTTGTCCTTATTATGATGTGTGCAATAGTAGCAAGTATGCTAGGAAAAATGTGGACTTTTTTCCCGCCATGGGATGGGAAATACCGTTT